AGTTGTCGTGATTAACAGTATCTTTGGCACCTGCCAGGTTTCCTAACCATTTGAATTTTTTTAAAAAAAATCTATTTTACAGATCTACATTTTATTTAATTGTTGGATAAAGTTAGTGATCAACTGATTATTTTCTTCCATACACTGAGGATGTGGTTTAGTTAATCCTTGCTTAATGACTGCCCTGATCAGAGACAATTTGAACTTATGACAGCACTGAAGAGGTAGCTTTATGACTGGTCCTCACATTTATAATCATCATAGCAGCCCTGTGATAATGTGATAGAGATTCAGGCACTTCCCAATAGGCAGATGTTTATGACTGCCACAGCATCCTGCCATCATGCAATCGCCATTTGATCAACTTCTGGCTTCCAACAAGCAGAGTTAATGGACAAACCAGCATTAAAATTGCAAGTCACAATCACATGAAATTTTACTTAATGACTGCATTGCTTAGTGACAGAGTTGCCAATCCCAACTGGGGTTGCTAAATAAAGACTGCCTATAATGTTCATTGTTCATTAGGTTTTTGCTAATAGCATCAAAGCAACTATTATTTTAGAAATTTCAAAGGAAGCCAAGTTCCATAGCAATCCAGATGGGATGGTCATGGCTGAGAGATGCTGGAAATTATACCACCAATGTTTCATGTGTTGGTTGGGGGAAGTTTTGGTTGATTTGAAGAGCAAACTGGGTGTCTTCAGCACCAATCACTCATATTAAAAGAAGCCCCAGTTTGCTCTTCAAATCAACCAAAACTTCCCCCAACCAACACATGAAACATTGGCGGTATAATTTCCAGCATCCCTCAACCATGACCATCCCATCTGGATTGCTATGGAACTTTTGTTGTTCAGCAATGAGGATCCCAATTGTTGGGGGGGGGCAATATGATGACATTTGTAAACCGCTCAGAGAGTGCTGTAAAGCCCTATGGAGTGGTATATAAGTATAAGTGCTATTGCTGAACCATGGAGGCCCAGTGATTAGAATGTGGTACTGCAGGTTACTTCTGCTGACTGGCAACTGCCAGCAGTTCGGCAGTTCGATTCTCACCGGCTCAAGATTGACTCAGCCTTCTATCCTTCCGAGGTCGATAAAATGAGGACCCAGATTGTTGGGGGCCATATGCTGACTCTGTAAACTGCTCAGAGAGAGCTGTAAAGCACTGTGAAGCAGTATATAAGTCTTAAATGCTATAGCTATTACTAAGTGCTAAAATACGTGTGACTCCAAGAAATGTTTATCTCATTGTTCTCACTTGTACTAGCCCCATTTATTAGTTGTAGTCCTGGTAACATTTATTAGCCTTTCAAGGCAACCCAGTTAAGACACACACTCAGAAGAAGTACTGTAGATGCATCTCTTCCAACTTCAACTTTACAGTCCATGAAACTAGGGACGGTCCCTTCTCAAATGCTTGCCACATCCAAGTTCCTTCTGCAGACTCAACTGCCTCTTATCTGACTGTTGTCTAGGCTGCAGCTCTTCTTCCTGTCTCCCAAAGTCATTCTCACATACAATTACAATTTTACAACCACATACTGCATTCAAGGTTAAAATGAAAGTTTTTAATTTTTTAATTTTCACATCCACAACTTTTCTTATCTGTGAAATGATCTATATTTTTGTATTTCTTCCACACCCAAAATGGCAGATTGGATTTTCCATAAGCATAAGGGTTTTTTTAATCCAATCACCAGGGCTCAGATTTTCTCCTTTGTCCTCCAACCTGATCCCCAGTAAAAGAGTGTCCTACTGGTACTTTTTCAAGACGCTTCTTCCAGAGCTGAAGAAGTTTCTTGGATGAGAAGCAAAAAGTCTTCAAAGAAAAACAAGAAAGTCCAGTTGCCTCATGAAAAAACACCTTTGGAATAAGTATGACCTGGATAAAAATCTCCATAGACATTCACCAAGAGAGTCATTACTCACATATATGTGACTCTAGGTGGCTTATAATTTTTTTTTAAAAATCCATCATATAAAAAACTTATAAAAACCTCCCCCTCTCTTCCCCCTCCCATCCCATGGCAGCAACAGTCAAATTAACCTGATTGGCTCTGTTTCCATTCGTGGTCCCAGACCTGCTAACAAAGCCCTATTTATAGGGCCTTTCAAAAAAGCAGCAATGTAGAGCCAACTGTACCTCAGGGGTGATGATGTTCCACAGAGAAGGGGCCACCACCAAGAAGGCCCTTTTTCATGGTCCAGCCAGATGGCAATCCCTAATCAATGGGACCCCTTAAAATAACCTGTCTTCCCATCCTGGTGGACTGGGTAGATGCAATAGGGGAGAGGCAGTCCTTCAAATAGCCTGACCTTAACCATGTGGAACAACTACTGGGTTGCAGACCACACTTTGGGAAATCGGAGATAAAGCCTTGAGATGTTCCATTAAAAAAAATAAAATGTTGGATAACCATAGCTCAGTGTTTTGGCAATAGGCCCACCTGCCTTGAAACTGAAGTGGGAGAGAGAGCAATCTGAAGGCCAGCAGAGAGGGGCATGGAGCAATCTTGTGTTTTACTTCTTGATAGATATTAATGTAAAAAAGTATTCTGCATCCAACCTTGCTGCAAAGACTCTATATAAGTGAATGTATATCACTTCTTCCACCTTCTAGGCTTGTCATCTGACAATAACAGGCCATGCATTTATTTGACAAAGTAGATTCGTGTCCATGAAAATAAATGGCATCATAAATCAGTCCTGAAAGTGAGTCAAAACTTTGTGTTTTTTTTACTCATAAAAAGAAACTGATCTATGGCTTTCCCCCCCATTTTTAAAATTTCTTATGCAATGAAGGTCTGTATAGTTAGACAAGGATCCAAGATTTTCTATTATTTAGCCTCTTAAATTGATAGCATTTAAAACAAACAAACATTACATAATTAGCACTTTAAAATTTTTATTCATGATTGTTGAGATATTCTTGTGCTTTTAATTATTGATTTATTTTGTATTGCAACATTTTCTATTAGTCAGTTTTTTATTTTTTATTTTTTAAAAATGTAGGCATACAATAGGGAGTCTTTGGATTATGATGGCAATTGGGATGAGAATTTCTGTCGCTCATTGATGCAGTAATAAATAATAAATTAAGGGTTAGAATATAACTTCAGATGATAAAAATACAAAGAACTGAATTTGTTAAGTTTTACAGTCATTTCTAAGACTACAAAGTTATGTCAAGCAAATGACCACTTCTGTTTGGCTAGCCTGTGTGTAAATTATTGGATAGTTTACCTCACCTTTTTGATTTAACTGTACTTAAGTAAATTAATAGCTACAATTTTTTTAAAAAAGTAATTAGGTAGTAATAATTTGATAATGATGTATAAAATGATAAGTACTGTTTGGAATTATGCCCTGAAAATAAAACATTTTACCATTCAATTGAATATTGCTGAGATTAAAAAAAAAAATCCATCGGTTAAAATAGTTTGAAAGGTTATCTCACTGTTCCAGGCAAGCAGCAATATCTTTTCCTCTGTATTGATTTTAAAAGGATGTTTTAAGGTCACGGAATTGTGATTTGCATGGCTCAAGGTGCTTTAGAAACATCACTGAGAAGTGTTACATGCCTCCAACAATGGTCAGCTTTTCCATTTTTTTAAATAGGCAGTTTCATCCCTTTTAATTCCATTCTTAACTTTTATGTGGATGATCTTAGCCACTATGTAGAATTATGTATGATGTCATGGCAGGAAGAGTCAATGAACTCTCCTCAAAATTTAAAAGCCCCTTTCACATCAATCATGTGAAAGGACTTCTCTTTGAATGAAGCTGGGGGTCATGACGGAAAGTCACAAGGAGTGGCTTGAATTTTTCTCATCAAATCATATTTTTGTTCAACAGTATCTGTTCTCTGGGATCCCTTCTCATGGGTGCAATGATAAATTTAATGTGGGCGAAGGGGGTCAGGCAGATCATGAGAACAGCTTTATTAATGCAAGGATCTCTTGGAGGAGGGTTATCTCATTCTGCACCACAACATGGTTAAAACTCTGCCAAGGAGAGGCTCTTCTTTTTAGCCAGGAATCTATTGAAGAAAGAAATAGTTTCATATCTATATTACTTTTCTCAGTGCTTTTTTTTGTCATAAAACTCATCGTAACAGAGTTCCGGCACCTTTTTTTGACAGATTTTCCAAGTTTTAAAAGTAACTTTTGAAAATTTGATGTTTGGTCCACATGGACTTGAATCGCCCTGTCGAGCATAGCAGGTCGACGGAAAAATCATTAAAATGGTGCATGCGGGCTGCTTGTGTGTCAAGTCCAATGCATGTGTACTTTATCCGGCTGCTCGGCTTGGGGCACTGCTTGGCTTGTGATTGGTCATGTGGTCGCGAGCTGAGTGCTTACTGCGGTGATGATGGTTATGTTTCGTTACACAACTGATGTGTGTGGGTGTGTGTACAGTGATTGACTATGTGAGAAAGGTAAATAAAAGATTAACAAGATGTGAGTTCTGGCACCTTTTTTCTTACAAAAAAAGCACTGACTTTTCTTGCCCAACACCCCCTGCTAATAAATAGGGGGAATCCCAAACAGTTGTTTAGAATTAAATTCAGGTTTCATAATAACTACTTAAGAACAATTAAGTTTTTTTTCAAATTATAGGTTACCACTCAGATATAGTGGGTAACTATAACAAAATGTTGGTGTATAACGAAAATTGGGAATCTATTGATCAGGGAAGAACTTGGATTCAGTGGGAACTGATGTTGCTAAAATCTTGTATTATTTCGATGTAATAATTACTATCAACTGAGTGTAAATACTAGCCAATAGAATTCTTGCTATTGGAAAATCCCTTTATGAACGATAAATATTTACAATTGAGAACCTGTTGCCAGTATATGTTAACTTTCTCCTTATATTTTCAAAATGTAATAGTAAACAAAAGGAAGAATTCCTGTTAAATTATAACCTAAAAATTGGTCTGACTATTGCTCGTATGAGCAATGATTGAAACTTCTCATTCTGCCTTTGTAGCTGCTAACATGGCAAATGACAGCTATGAAGAACTTCCATCCAAGGTGGCTTCAGAGGATGAGGAACATATCTATGAACATATTTATGACACTTTGGCATCTTCTGACAAACCAGAGCTGAATCACCAAATGGCCATAGATGAGCTTATCACTACAGAGGCTAACTATGTGCACAACCTTCAGCTCTGCATTTTTAATATCCGCGATCACCTCCAGAAAAAACAGGTGAGAATAAGAGAGATCATCTGTAATCATCAGCACTTGAGTTATGATAAAAAAAAATTAGTATCTACAACAGGGAATCCTATATTGTATAAGTAGCAATATCCTAGGGCAGTGGTGGCGAACCTATGGCACGCGTACCAGAGGCAGCACTCGGAGTCCTCTCTGTGGGCACGTGCACCATCACCCCAGTCCTGCCTCCCCCGCAACCCCCTCCTCACCAGCAGCCCCCCTGGAGGAGAGTCACCCCTGGGCACAGCCCGCACAGAGCAGCGCAGCCAAGGACATAGCCGGGCAGCAGGGACAAGACTCCACCCTCATGCCCCATAGCATACAGATGCTGCTGCAGGGTGAGGGTGGAGGGCGTGGCTGCCATGGCACTACAGGGCTGCCTGGGCAATCTGCGGTGGGCCATGGAGGCGGTGTGTGGCTGGGCAAGCAGGGCAGGGGGCGAGTGGGGACAGAGCAGGCAGGGCGGGAGGCGGAGTGGGGATGGGGCGGGTTTTGGGCACTTGGTCTCTAAAAGGTTCACCATCACTGTCCTAGGGCAGTGGTAGGCAACCTCAGCTCTTTTATGACTCATGGACTTCAACTGCCAGAATTCCTGAGTCAGCAAAGTGTTGGACAGCCAGGAAAGCAAACAGCATAGCTGGCTCAGGAATTCTGGGAGTTGAAATCCACGAGTCATAAAAGAGCCAAGGTTGCCTACCCCTGGTATAGGCGAAGGAAAACTAACTCTAAAATCCCAAGGCATCAAACCATAGCATATAAGAATGACATTCCCAGCGGAACCCCCCCCCCCAGATGTCCACATAGCTCATGTAAACAAATTCTCTTTGTTATGACAATCGTCTGCTATCTTCTTCACACTGGCTAGAATGTCCTTGACAGTTTCCAGGCAGCCTCTCTCAGCAAACTTCCCCAGAACTGGAGAGGTTTCGTTTCTCTAACTAACCCATTCGAAAGCATCATCTCTCTCTCCCCCTCCCCCCCTTACTCTAATGGCAAGATGAAATCAAAGAGGCCTGTAGCTGCCAGATTTTCACTCTTGACACAGCTGTTGTATTCTATAGATTCATTCTTCAACAATATGCTCTCAACTTCTGCACCTGAGGAGTCCATAGACCAATAAAGCAGCATGATACAGCTGCTTACAAAAATACAAAGGGATTTCTCAGAATATACAACCTATAGACGTTTAATGGTTACAGTTTTAGAAGCAATGTTGTGACAGAAATATCATGGTTAAAAGATAGTAACTATCTTTGTCTTGTAGAATAGGGGCATATGCTGGCTGAGAGAAGAAACTGAAACATTGTACTACTCTATTTCAGCTGCCTGAAATTGACCTGGAAGGATTGTTCTCTAATATAGATGATGTCCTGCAGGTTTCCAAATGTTTGTTGAAAGGACTTGAAGCTTCTGTGAACCAGGGGCATGAACAACTTTTTCATATCAGTAGGTAGTATCCACAATGATGTATCTACTACATAGTTTTTAAATACTGTTATTATTAAAGCAATAGTATACATTTTATTATAACAACAGTAATACTTCGATAACTTTAATACAAGCGCTATGAGGCAGTGTCAGATTGCCTAATGTTTTAAAAGCTGGATTCAATATTATCTTTTCAAGAGTTGAAAGATCTAAGTGTTACTTAGCTTGATGTTAATCTGCTATTTATGTGATTTTCCAGAATTACTTTTACTATTTGTAGCAGAAGAAAATAGTTATTTTGAATATTATCCAAGAGCGAAGTTATTTCAAGATTGTACATCGAATTATGGACTAAAGAGAGATCATTTAACCTCTAAAAGAGTAAAATGCTATTGTGCTTGCTAAGTAAATGGAAGTCAATATGTTTTTTTTCTTAGATATCTTTAATTTTTTGAGTTCAGATTCTGGAGACAGCATGGTATGAGTCATAAAAGGAGACATTTAGGAAGCCATCTGTGAACAATCTTCAAAGCACTCCAGGGAACACTTTGGAGAAAGAAAGAGAAGAATGCTGGAGAACCCAAATGAAAAGACAGAGTGGCTAAGGAAAGAGAGGGATAAAATAAGCAGAGGATCTTAAAGTTTAAAGGAAGAATGGGTAGTGAAAGACAGTAGATAAAAAAGGAGGCAGTGTAAAGTGAGACTAATATAATCTTTCACATGAGACCTAATGATAAGAAGAGTTTTGCACTGTGACAGGTAAGTAAGAAGCAGGCAAAAGAGGAATCCAAGGGAGAATAGAGTTGAAATCCCATTCTTTGGAAATTCTGCCTGCTTTATTCAATTGTCACTTTTGAAATGTGAGCTAACATCCTTGAGAGCTGTGGCATGTTCAAGGACCTGGGGGTGATAGTGAAGTGATAGCTTCTTAATTTCATAATTAGCCAGCTATACAGTGGTACCTTGATACTTAACGGCTTTGAAACTCATCAAATTTGGTACTTATTGCATGTTGACATGAAAATTTTGCCTCAGTACTTATTGTTTGTTTGGTACTCAATGCACAAACTAGACCAGGGGTAGGCAACCTCGGCTCTTTTATGACTCATGGACTTCAACTCCCAGAATTCCTGAGTCAGCATAGCTATGCTGACTCAGGAATTCTGGGAGTTGAAGTCCATGAGTCATAAAAGAGCCGAGGTTGCCTACCCCTGAGCTAGACCTTGTCAGTACCGGCTGCATTGTGATTCACTATGTTATTCCTTATGGGAAAAATGTGTTTGGTACCAATCATTTTTGCTTTTCATCAGGCCCCCCAGAACCAGTTAACAATGAGTACTGAGGTACCACTGTACTTCAAATGTATACACTATTTTTCAGCCTGAAAAGTTATATATACTCATCCTTGCACAAAAATGAGGCTAATTAATGAGACTTAAGAACAATTTGATGCATTGATGCTTTTCAATATACAACACATGTCTTGGGAATCTTCATTTTGACTGTTTTACAATTTTGTTGTGGTAGGCACTTTATTTCAAGAGCTCAAAGCAGAAATGGAGAATGTCTATAAAATTTATTGTGGAGACTATGACCAAGCTCTTTTACTGCTGGATATTTATAGTAAGGAGCCAAGATTGCAAAAAGAAATTATGGAAACCTTGACTACTACTGTGTAAGTATACTTTATGATGGCGGCAATCATACAACCCATATTTTTTTAGTATGTTAACCTTTTTACTTTACAAGAAACACAGCCTTGGGTTTAACGAGGCAATGACATCAGTCAGTGGTAGGCAGCATCTGTGCCCTTTGGGTCACTTCATCCCTTCAGCTTGCTGAAACAGATACTTGAATAAGGGAGCATAGCTGTGAGAGATGACAGCTCTTTTTTTTCCCCAAATGAATCACTATACACATCCAAACCAGAGGGTGTAAATCTGCCATGGTCCACACAAATCAGTAGTATGCGAAGCAAGTCAACTAATGCCATTTGTATCTGATTTTGAACATAGAGTTTTTTTGCTAAATATGAATCATGTTTAAAAGCAAAGGAACAAGTAGATCTGCAAACAGAAACCACTGGGTTACTATTGGGTTCTATTAATTACCTGCAATTGTGATGCTCCATGAATTTATGGAAAGATTCAAAACTTATTCTTGTCCTTCACCGAATTCAGTGTCATCAGATAAGATGGCCATTGGGCCAAATGAGTTTTCAAAGGGATTAACATGCTAGTTGGGCTACTAATAAAAAGGCATCGTGCAAACTACAACATATTTCCTTCTTTAGTGGATATTATTTTTCATGGAAGGTACGATGAAAAAAAATGTTATCTAGTAATGCTCTGTGAGCAAAACAAAGCTATTGAATTTTAAAAGCCATTCCCCAAAAGCTATTGAAGAAGCTATTGAATCATTATGTCCAGAGGGAGTGTATCACAAAATACCAGAAGCACGGCGGCTCAGTTGCTTAATAATGCTGGAAATGGTCTCTGTTCCAGTGGCTCAAGTCCTAGCACTGCAGAGCGGGGTGAGCTCCTGTCACTTGCCTCAGCTTCTGTCTACCTAACAGTTTGAAAGCATGTTCTAAGCAAGTAGATAAATAGATACCACTTGGCGGGGGGGGGGGAAGGAATTGGTACTCTGTACAGGCAGTCAGATTCCTGCTGGCTCTGAACCTTCCCAGTTGTGGCACCCATTTACAAGGTGGCTCCAGGAAAGGGAGGGAGTCTTGGATGATGCTATTGGAAGAGCTGCTTGTCTTTCTTTTCAGTGCAAAGCCAGATTACCTCCTGTGGAGCACCTTGGGAAGTGTGTGAGCTTGTCCTACAACAGAGCTGGTAAATTGGCAGCCAAGCTACTACTTTGCAATGGTCTTCTGGCTAATGTAACAACGCCCTAGGTTAACAACAACCTTTCCTCCACTACTATCAACTAGAGCCCAGCCCTGCACTGTTAATGTGTAATGGCTAATGTGTAATCCTCAAACATGATGGCGAATTGCCCATGTTACAGGCAATGACATGGTCATAGTGAACCATTGGGCTTTAAAGATTAAATGCCTTAGCTTGATTGAAAATCAAGCATAACAATTGGAGGTGGATTATCAAATGGACATAGCAGATACTTTGAAATATTATGAAGGGAGGATGGCTATTGTATTCGGTTCGTGGATTTTGTTTTGTTTTGGGGCTTTTTTTGCAGGCTCAAATAAAAAATAATCAGTTTGACATAGTGGACAGAATATTGGACTAGAAACTGGGAGATGGGATTTCTAGTCTTCTTTTAGGCAAGGGAGCCAATCGAATGACTGCATTGGGCACATTTTCTCACCCCAATCTACCTCATCATGCTGAGGGAAAGAATTATTATGTACATTATCTTGAGCTGTACAAAATAAAAATGAGATGCAAATCAAATAATTACATGGAGATGTAAAAGGCAAATCCTGCCTCTCCGTTAAATACGTATGAAATGTTCAGTTTCCCATTTGGGAAGGCTGGAGCATTTTAAAGCCACTTTACATCCTGATATTTATTTATTTAGGAGCTTTAGAGGACACCCATTGTAAAACGACTCTGGGTGGCTTACATAAAATAAAATAAAAAAACAAGAAAGAAAACAAGAAAATCCCTGCATCTACACAAACCCACTGCCTCTAACAGAAATATCCCCTATAGGGCTCCATAAGGACCCCACCCCAAGGTCTGGGAGAAAAGCCAGATTTTGAAAGCTTCCTGCAACATTAGCAGGATGGCGGGAGGGGGGGGATTGACATGGATCTCTGGGCAGGGAGTGGGAGGGATCTTATTCCAGAGAACAAGCTCCATGATGGAGAAAGTGTGTTTGATGGGTGCCAATAGATGGCGCTGTTTGCTTGAGGGGACCCAACATGCTCTGACTGATATCCTTATGCATTTCTTGGTCAGGCCTCACACTGGTGCTTCAAACCTGAGCTTCTTCCTGGTGATGCCAGTGCAACGAATCACAAAATATCCACTGTTGTTGCAGAAGATTGTGGAAAACACTTCAGGCACTGACAGTGCCTATGGAGCCCTGCAGGCTGCAGCCACCGCTATGACAGATGTGAATGCCAATATCAATGAATATAAAAGGCGGAAGGAAATAGGTAAGGGAGATAGATCTTTCTGGCTACGTCTACTGCAGAATTCCAGGAACCTTCCACTTCCAATAGCACTCAATCCCCCTACGATAATCTGTCTGAAAATTGTAATGCGATATATCTGGAGTGGGTCAAGTGAATCAGGCTCTACGGAATGTTTGGTGTATTTTTTGCAGGGCTTTGTGATCTAATTTCCTTGAGTTTACCTAGGGATATTGAAAGTTTAATAATGGCAAACAAAAACAAAGGGAAAGCACTTTTAAAAATGTGACTCTAATATCATTTCCACCTTGGCACAGCGAGCGGTTTCCTGAGTCAGCATTTGCGATGTAGGAAATTAATCAGCTACAACTCACTTATAGCTCTGGGTCTAAAGCACAATGGTCAACATTATTCATATACAGATGTTTTCTGCTGCACTTCCGAACATGCAAACAATGGAGAAGTCACGTTGGAAAGAAAAGAATACATTTGAAGGCATCATTCTGCTTTGGGAGAGGCCTCAGGAATGTGCATTACTGAATTGGAACCAGCCATTAATGAACTTAGCTTCAAAGCTGAACTAAAACTGAATAGGAAACAGATCAGCTTGCAAGATGATATAACAGGGGTCTTCAGACTCGGCCCTTTTATGACTCATGGGCTTCAACTCTCAGAATTCCTTAGCCAGTGTGCCTGGCTGAGGAATTCTGGGAGTTGAAGTCCATGAGACATAAAAGGGCCGAGTCTGAAGACCCCTGTGATATAAGGTCATAATGTAGCAATCTGTAGGTTTGTCTTGTCAGAATTGTTTGCATAATTATAGCAGAGCCTTCCCAGTACAATAGATGTGTTGGACAACAGTTCCCATCATTCTCAATCAGGGTGCTGTCCCGGAAGTGATAGAAGTTATGGTTCTGATAGAAGAGAATATTTGTAGCTCAGGGTTAAACTTGGGGGCCCTTGATGCTCTCTGACCTTCGTTGTTTTCTTGCAGACATTTCATTATCTGACTAGGTAACCCCATCAGTGCTAGCATCAGTCTAGCACTGATGATGTTACTTAGTTGGGTAATGAAAAGTCTGCAAGAAAATAACCAAGTTCAGAGAGCACCAAGGACCCCAGAGTTATGGTTCACTAAATTTGGGGATTCTTAGGGAAGGAAAATCTCTTCAGCCTATATTTGATTGCTTTTTAGCTTGTTGTTAATGAGTGTATCCAAATGTATCAAAATTAAATTTTCCCAAGGTATTCTTGTTCTTACATCTACTGAAGAATCATTAAACTGCCAGAAAATTTTCCTCCTGCCTTATATAACTTGTTCTGTTACATTTCTCACCTTCCTCCTCTTTTGGACTGAGGACAGCAGATAAATATAACAAGGCTGGGTATCTGACTCTGCGAGAACGTCTGGCCCGCATCAATACCCACTCCATTGCCAAGAAGACGGCACGGTTGAGCCGCCTCTTCATGCATGAAGCTGGAATTGTGACCAAGGTAAGTATATGTCATTTTGCTCTATGCCCTGGTACGGTATGCCCTGCGCTGATCTGGAATGGTAAAGAAGAACGAAGAGAGGTTTATAAACAGAAGAGTTATAAAGACTGAGTATTCTAGGAAATGAAGACCCTCTGTCTCATCCATAGTTTCCATTCCACTCAACTGAATTCACCCCAATGCCCTCAAGATGCCCTCAGGCAGCTTCGGGGATATCACACTGCAGTCTTTAAGAGTTCATGTGCTTCATTTGTGGATCATGACATATTTTGGGAGGAGATCACATAACAGCTTCTGCTTGTGACCTGGCTGAGGATGATTCTTTCACATGTAATGATAGGAGTAGTAATTTATGTAGTGCTGCAAGCATGCCGAGCATTTTCCACTCCTCATTACACCCCTAATTGAGACATTGGGCTTAGCACTAGTTCCTGTTTGTAGAAGATAAAGTATTATGACCCTGCTTAAAATTAGCTTATCTCTGATGGCATTGGGAAGCCTGTGTGGAAATAATAATCGGACTGATATTCCTTAACTCTCAACTTAACCGCCTTAGGGCAGTGAAATTAACATGAAAAAAAAAAGAATTCAAGAAATGAAGCAAATTTAGTGAAATCAGCTTTTCGTACTGAAATAAATTTCCTTCAATCCTCTCTTTTCTCTTTGCATAGCAATTTTCCAGCAATTTGTCTCTTGCCTCTTCCAAGATCCAATAGAAGAGTATATGCTTGCATTAGACTTTCCTGTTGATCCAGAGTGTGTATTTATCAGAAATAATATAATTTCTGGGAACTCCAGAGATGGCAGATATTTGCTTTGCATACCATATTCGCCTATTCATTTGCAACATAAATGTATAAGTATTGATAGAAATTAAAAAGCCTCTGATCTCTCCCCTCCTCCCTCCCTTCTTTTAACAGCCTTTTGATCTGGAGTCAGAGAAACCCTGTCTCCATTCATAAAATACAATAATTCCTTAAATGCAATAGAAAGCAGACAGGCAGCTTGAAATCAATCAACATTTAAAAGGCATGGGAATTTTAACATCAATTCCCATGTTCTTTATGCCATGTGACTGGTCAGGAACTTTTCTGATAGGGAGATAACAAGTAAAGTATTTCCTGTCACCATAAAAGCCATGTGTCACATTTGTGTTCCCTACTTCAGTCATAACACCATATATCTCACTCGCATGTCTTACTGATGGGCAGTGGTGAGATTCAAATACCTGAACAACTGGTTCTCTTATTGGATGCAGGCCTGGGACTCCGAGACCTAGAACGGACCTCTGGAAGTGGCATCCATGTACTTCCGGTGGGCTAGTCTATGCCTTGGAGGCCTCCTCCCGGCCTCCAAGGCCTAGAACAGACTTCCAGAAGTGGCATCCACGCACTTCTGGTAGGCCATTCTATGCCTGGGAGGCCTCCTCCAGGCCTCTGAGGCCTAGACTGGACTTCCGGAAGCAGTGTGCATTCAGCTGGTTCTCCGAACTCAACAAAATTTAGCTACCAGTTCTGCTGAACCGGTGCGAACCAGCTGAATCCCACCACTGCTGATGGGTCAGTCTGTGGCTAACTGCCCCAAAAGTAAACCTTGTATTATTTTTGGAACAATAAAGATAGAGACCTCCTTTTCAAGCAGCCAGCCTCTGTGTCTTGATTCTAGGGATGCTTGCGCTTCCCTAGGGAGGCTGCTAATGCTCTCTTTTCCCGGCTTAGAAGAAAGGAACCCAGGGAAATTCTCCGAATAGTGTGATTGACATTCACAGAAGAAATCCGTATTCACTAGTGGCATTCTATTTTCTTTTATATCATTGCTCAGTACTGATCTTTTACTACCTGTAAATTGTCTTCTGACAAAATGTAACGTCTTTTCTTTGATTTTTAGACAGAGGATAAAGAGTTTGATAAAGTGGAAGAAAAGTTTCAGTCATTGGCATCAGCTATAATTGATCTGAAAGAGAATGTGGCCTGCTTTCTCGACAACACAGAGGTAACATTTTTGTATCTCATGTTCAATCAAGCTCATGAAATTAGAGCACCTTGCAGAAACTTGACTAGAGATTTATTTTTGTGGTTGACAATCCAACAATGTCTCTATTAGTGTTTCTGGGATTGCTTTGAATCATGACTGAAGAGAAGTCCACAGTATTAGGTTTTAAAGCTGTTAGTAAGAAAATAGTTACCTTGCAAAAATATGTCTATTTTTGCAAGATGGGAAGCTGCTGGGGTCTATTTAAGAAAGTCTGTGCAAAAGATGTGGTAAACAAGTACCTGCCCAACCAATATGTATCCGCTAGTTTTTACTTCAGGCACTAATTATACTGACATATATGTCATTTAACTCTTGTCTTGGAAGAGTGGTGGGATTCAGCCAGTTTGCACCAGTGGTGGGATTCAGCCAGTTTGCACCAGTTCGGCAGAACCGGTAGCTAATGTTTTGTTGCCCAGGTCCAGAATGGACTTCCGGAAGCGGCATTCACACAGAGAACCAGTTGTTCACATATTTGAATCCCACCACTGGAAGTAATCTATATTTTCCATCTGTATACATGCATTATTTTTCTATCAATACACTCTGAATGTGTGGGATGGCATATGTATTCACGAAGGAGCAGCTCAAAATGCAAACTTTCCCCATTCTAAAAAGGGAACCCTAGTCTGAACCTAGCAAAACTTTCTTTAAAGTTAATGGACTTTAAGTGGGCTCACAACCAAGCTTTCAGGATTCCCAGCTGCAAATAATATGAGGTTCAGAAAACCAAGTAACCTTAGACGTCTGTCACCTGTTACTATCATTCCTCCTTCTTCAGGGAATTGACCTTGGAGAACTCGAAAGAGGGCAGTGGACAAAAAAGAAGGAGCAGTACATTAGCTGGGCTTCCAAGTGAACATTCAGAAGGAAAATACTAGGGATTTTTAAATGCTTGAACAGAACTCTGGAAGCATGTCAATGTATGGTGCTGCAGGCAGGATTAGTTTGAAAAAAATACTTCAAAAAATAAATAAAGAGAGAGAGCTTCAACAATGCCCACAGAATTGTGACATTAGATGTGCATTAGATGTGCTAAAAGAGACATGTGGCCCTGAACTAAAACAAAATAAAACCCTCCCCCTTTCATGGAGCATAATGCCGGTAAGAATAAGCAAGTGGAGGAGGAGGGAGGGGGAAACCCAATAGATCTTTCCAGAAAGGATGCACAATATTTTCCGGGCTGATAGACATGGTCAGCCAGGGGCTGCATTCCAAATACTGAGTGGTGCCAGAACAAAAGCTAAATTAGATGTCACTTACATGTAATTAAATATAAGTAATATGATTACTTTCCAATCATGTATTTAATCATTGCTCCCATCTGTCACATTAAAAAGTTAGTGCTATGTCAAATATTCCCCCTGCTTTAAAATTACTGTACCCTTTTTGGGAAGGGGATACAGAAGCAGAGAGCAAGCAGAACTGGGATAAAAGGAGATGTTGCTTGACTTTGGTGGTGACAATTTTTCCCCTTCTTTTTTTCTTTCTTTTAAAAAACTTTAACAGCCCTTCTTTCCGTGTTTCAGTATTTTTACAATGCTATGGTCAGGTGATCATTGTAAGAAGAAGATACCATAGAAAGAGAGTCCTTACACTACTTTAAGTCTAGGTGTGAGTATTTTTTTAAAGAAAAACAGATATTGGCTACCTACCGCATAAACCATGTTAATGTGACTCCTAATTCATCCTTCTTCTTTCACATGAAATAATTACTTCCACAAATGACTGGACTGGCACTACTGTGAAATTTCAGGTTAGCAGATGCAAGGGACTTTGCCTTTAAGGGACAAAATTCTCCTATGATTTAGTCAATTTACATAATGAAGGTATTGTATAATACATTGACAAAAATATGGTGTTTTATTCTGTTTGTGTGATCTCACAAATTACATTAATCAGTCTGATGATGTACCCTCCAATTTACTGGATGTTTGTGAATAACAGAGACACCCTCTTCCCACATATTCCATTAAAATAAGATTTCTCTATTTAGAAACCTGTTTAGAATTGTAATTTGATACCAACAAGATTTTCAGCAACACATGCAGTCTTGACGCATCTTGTCATTCTCCTCTGCTCTACAGTGTAATTATAAAAAGACCAATTCCTGTCTAGTTCAGATTTTGATTCCCAAAGAGTCCGGTCAGCTTTCTTAGTAGAGGTCATAGTAAGACATTACAACATTAGCCTTTTCCTGCTCTTTCTCTACAGTACTTCAGGGAGATACTTTCTCATATTCCAGATACTTTAAGAACCATGGATACACATTTCTGCTATGAATTTGAGGATTTCCTTTTTAAAGTGGGAAAATCTATTGTCCACTGCAATGTTCATGAGGAACCATTTGCTGAATAAATACTTTCCTCAGTCATTGCTAATCTCCTGCCAAAACCATTTCTTTGTAGGCTAAGGAGATTTTGAAAAAAAACCAAAACTATAGTGAATTTAGAGGAAGGGAAATTACCAGCTGGTTGGTAAGACGTAAAATACTTCCCTAAAATACAATGAGAATTAATTCTGAATACTGTAATCACAAAACCATTTGAACCTTGAGCTATAAAAGGGCTCAATCAATGCAGGGAAAGTTAATTCTTGGATATAATTGCTGTGCCTCTAATATTATGAGGCGGTACATTCAAACAATTCTTCAGATTATGAAGTGGACTGGAGTGGACCTTAATGGATTGTAATCTATGCCATGTGCACAAATAATGGGTTTTAGTAGTAGCACATGTGTGAATTAACTTTAGAACTGATTCTTGTTTGATGCTCGCAATAGTATAAGTACAAATAGTGAAATGACAGCAGAAAATGGTGACACAGGTAAATGTTTATAGCACAACACTTTTGAAATGACAGCCTGGCAGATCTTTAGCCAAGATTTTAATCTTACTTGCCATTTCCAAATGTTCAATTTATATCTGTTCATGGGCTGCTCGTCCAAAATTTAAAGGTATCAGAATGGAGTAATATTCTTGTACCCAAAGGTACTTTTTTTCCCAAAAGGCAACTGGACTTTCTTGGTTTTTTTTTTCCTTTGAAAAGCTTCTTGGATGAGGAGCAAAACCTTTTCAAAGGGAAAAAAAACCAAGAAAGTCCAGGTTCCTTTTGAAAAAAAGCACCTTTGGGACAACCATGACCTGGTTGATTTAGAATCTCCATAGACAAAGAGAGAAGTGATACTTTTTTTTGCCACAATTAAGCTAGCCCCATCCATTAAGTTTTTAATGTGGAAGCAAATCTTAGAAAGGGAACATATTAGCATATATTCAAGTATGCCTGTGCATTGGATTGTCTATTGCTTCCTTTTTACGTTCAGAAACTGTGGAAACCAACCGAGCAGCATCAGAAGAATAGAGTATTTTGTTATCTGACTTTCCAATACCAAAACTGGAAGTAATGTGTTCAACATAGTTAATAGCATTGGTAATGTGTTCAAAATTGTTAATAGCATTTTCTGTTGAAATTAAATATGCTGAGCATCCTTCAGTTTAATATTTGGGGAACATTTAAATTAAATGTCCAGGAACAAATCATAATTCCAGCAATGGAACTAAGTGAGGAGAAAGATGGAAGAAAAATTCCAAAACCTCTGGTGCACCACATGGCAGGTAGGATATTGGGAGTGTAGTATAACTATCCCCTTACTTCTGAATTGGAAGGAATAATTGTGCAGCCCCCAAGCCTGTATCGTAGGCCATGAAATGTGGGGAACCCGGGAGGAATATTAAAAATGTGAGGAGAGGGAAGAGGAAAAGTATCGTGGCAGCACCATACATGAGCTCTTCTCTGAAATCAAACCACCCAGCAAAGTAAAAGAAATATACACTCAGCAGCCACAGATACTCCTCAGAAAAAGATGTCAGACTCAATTGGTAAGAAAATTCTCCCAGAGAGAGCATTTCCTCATCAGGAATCTGCATGAGATTTCAGATCTGATGCAACAATACTGCAAATTCCTCTTAGGCAACCCAGCTTCAAAATGTGTAACTAGGAGGCACATTTTAAACATTTAGATTTTAGCTTTAAAAATAAAATAAAATACAATTTAAATAGAACTTAAAAGACATCTGACATTTTTTTTAGATGATGGGGAGATGTCAGCTGTTCAAGCAAGCTAGGCCAAGAAACACACACTAAAGGAATTCTACCGATGCTACTTGCTAAATTCTTTGTTGGGGGTTCATTAACAGAAACTTGAAAGCCTGTAGAGAAACTTCACCCTCCTTAAGGCCAAGGTCAAGGGAGAGGTCATCTCAATCTGATTCTCATACTTTTTACTTTTTCAAGGTGGGTAACCATTTCCCACTTCCTTCTCAAGGCCTTCTCCAGAGCTACATTCCTCAACAGAAGAGTACCATGCTTATGGATATTTAATTAGAAGTAGACTCTGATCGATGGAAACATCTATGTGAACGAACTGATGAATTTGTGAAATGATTCAGTAAAACAAAGTTCATGAAACATTTGCCTTAATTTTTGGTCACACCAAACCAAAACTTTTTACTCCAACCTCAGTACACAGATACCAGGACTCTCCCAGAATGAGACGTCACAGCAGTATCTGTAATGTAACTGCAACCCCCCATTTATAATACTTGTGAATAGCATTTTCATTGATTCTTTGTGTAAGCTGCAATTTTGAAGTAGAAATCAGAATCATAACTGGACTCTATATTTATTGATTTGATTTGTGTCCTGCCTTTATTATTTCTATAATAAAAACTGGACAGTGGCCAATGTTAATCTGTAATCACAATTCACCACTTTCTAACTTTTATGGAACCGACTAATGCTTTCTTTCCCCCTTCTTCCCAATCTCCCGCATTCTCTTTTTCCTTTACCTATTGTAGAGAGTATGCTGTAACTTATGCCTTTTTAAAATATATAACTTTATTTATTTTTTAAAAATACAAAGTTAAATAAACAGAAAAAAGATTTGAAAAAGTAAACAGTTCAGAAAAAAAGGGGACAAGAGAAAAGAAAAAAATACAAAAAATATTAAAAAGAATGATTTCTGACTTTCTTTGGTACAGATATAGATTTTAAAAACCGTGCATCAAACTCTTATTCTAAGACTAACATTTGTCTGCATTATTTTGATAGTCCTATAGAATTCTAATCATCAAATCTCCAAATCAGCTTTTCATTTCTTTCTCACAAAAAGTCCAAAAGAAATTTCCAAGTAGAAATAAAATTTGTCAAAGTCTTTTTTTATCAAGGCTGTCAGTTGTGCCATCTCCACCAATTCTGCCAGTTTCATCATCCATTCTTCCATTGTAGGTATTTGTAAGCCCTTCCACCTTTGAGCACATAAAGTCTTGCTTCCATTATCATGTGGAAGAATAAAGTTCCAGAAGATGTTTCCATTTGTTTATCCATTAAGCCCAAAAGAAAAGTCTCTAATTTCAATTGTATATTTACTTTTAAAACCATCTGCATCAAAATACATATTTGATCCTAATATTTTTGTTGTAGGTCCACCAGGGATGGAAAAATTCACACTCAGTTTGATTACATTTCTGACAAATATCTAAAATTTGCTTTTATATATTTTTGACAATATATCTGTCATGTACCAACAATACATCATTTTATAAACTTTCTTCAAGATTAAAATTCAATGTAAATTTCAACCCTTTCTTCCACATATTCTCCTTTCAATCTAACTATATATTGTATCCATAATTCATGCATGTTTAAGAACTCCTGAAAAATACCGCTTTTCAATAAATAATAATGGCATTTCTGAATAACCATAAGTGTTCTGAGTGACTAGAAGAGCCTGATTTCTCATATATCACTGGATATGTTTCCCATAAAATCATGTTTTTAGGTTGTCAGATTCATTTCTTTATCTTTTAGATGTTCCTTAGTTTTAAACCACATGAGGATGAATTGGATGTAGAACCATACATTACCCAACCATATTATTCCCTTGCAAAAAAGCTTCACAGCACCATCTTTCCTGTCTATGTAAGTATTATTTCATTTCTAATTTGCCAAATTTGGGAAAAGGGAAGGATCAGATTGATTCATTTTAGCCTTGCCCTCTCACATTTTCAGGCAAACTGGGACTTTGGGAGTTGCGGTCTCAGCGTATCTGAAGAACATAATGATGATAAACCATTGTGAGATACTGCACAGGGTTTTTTCAAAGGAGAAATTTTCATCTCACCAATGAGCCAATTTCTGAGAAATGGAGCATAATGTCATATGCTCCAAAATTTCAAAGCGAGTTCTTTGAGATTTTCCTAGCGTACCTAAGATTTCTCTAAATATTAGGCACATAGCAAGGAGGTGCATCAGAGACCCTCAGCCCAAAAGCTTCTGATCTTTCACTTCAGAACAGAGCAAAAGTGGTCAAAATTTGAGAAAAGTCTGCCTCTCTTCCTTTACAGAAGCAAAGGCTTGAGCACCTGGTATATAAGCCACTGTGCAACTTGTCGGAGACTCTGAGAGGACCCCACAAACTGATCAAGAAGCGCTCGGACAAGCTGCTTGACTATGAGGAGTATGAGGAGAAGAGGAACGAGACGGGCAGTGTGACCTATGAGGAGGAGGCTGTCATGAATACCTATCTTGGCATTAACTCCTTGCTTGTATCTGAGCTTCCTACATTCAACCAGGTGGCCCTGAAGTGGCTGGCCTGCATACTGTGTTCTTTTGTGACTCTTCAGAGGGATCTGGCCAAGCAAGTCCTCCAAGAGGCAGAAGGGGAGATTGTCCAGGTAAGAGCAAAAAACGGATGAGGCGATTTCTATTTGATTGTTTTCCCCTGCATGCAACCAAAAGGCATATCCTTGAAGAAAAAATGTAGCATTTCCTTGAAAACACAGTGCTGATGTGCAGCCTGTTATGAATAGTATAAATGGCAGGAGAGCCACTACAAAGTTTAGGCATCTTAGGAGAGTAATTGTTTTACGCATACTATTTTTCAGCCATTTAATTCTAGACTTACTTTTACAGCTGCCCCATAGACATCTCTCTGCAACTGAATTTTGGAAAATGGTAATGAGTACTTTAAAACAGGCTGAAGATCAGTTGTCCTTTCTCCAGAAGAAGTTTGACACTGTTTTGTCAAACCCCGTTGTGCAGGTATGATGCTACTGGGAAAGCAAGCGGGTGTGTGCTTACTCATGCACGATTTCCTCAGCTGACTCTTGGCTAGATAATTCACAAATATCTGACATAGGCATGGAAAAAGCAAATGCTGATTCTAAGTGAATTCAAATGCTAATTCCAAGTGAATTCTGGTTCTTCTCCAGTAATATTCTGTGATATTTGGATGCTTGGATTGTCTTGTGTATAAACTTGGAATTTGAGTGCTAGGGAAGTGAATAATTCAAAGACTTGCTCGCTTGTGTTAGGACCAATTGTTTTACTCTTTTGTGAAGTACTCAAGATGAGACTTAGTTTATGATGTCACATTTTTCATTAAGGCACTTAGATATCTTTACTAAGCAACCTATTTGTGCATTGTATGCATTTTAGGAGAAAAGCGTATAAACCCTTTTAAGAACTATCTTTTTTTTTTTGAGTCATTGACCCATACATGCTGTATATAGATGTTATTTCTGCAGCGGATGTTGGCTTTAGTATAAATTGTAGGCCAATGGATGGTTTTGTAACAATTTCTGACTCAACAGATTTAGTTACTAGTAATCCCGAAACAATCTCAGCGCCAATAGGAGCATTAGGAAGGATAAAGCAGATAATCTTAGCTGGTTGATTTTGGAGTACCATTAAATGACTTGCCATTAAAGAAATTACTGGCCATGTTGCTTAAACTTTATAATTTGAGAATTGTACACATAAAACATCTGGACAGATTCTAGATATTTGCATCCCCAGCCATGGAAGGCTGACAAGTAGACAATTATTATGCTTTGCATTTTTTTTATTTAATTTAGCCATGTTATATTTAGCCTACTGACAATTTTCAGAGTAGTTGACCTTAGATCAGTCTGGTGGTTTGAAAGGCTATAGCGCTAAGATTCTGCAGCAGCTGTCTCAAGCAAATGTATTGCTCTTTTGCTCTGTAGAAGAAATAGAACTGGTAGTATTAGAAACAGATGAGACTAATTTTCCTTCTCCTTTTCCCAGTGCCCAATTTCTTGCAGTCCTACTCTACCCCATTTGCAGAATTGCCTACTCTCTCTGTTTTCTGAAACTTAGCGTGCAAAATATGCTTGATTTTCAGGATTTGTCACACCTTGTTCTAGGATATTTTTGGTTAGATGCATTAGCACCTTGTTTCATTATGATTCGTGCATATACTCTAAGTGCATAAAACACGGTAGCATGTTGCTTCCACAGGGGGATACGTTTCTGACTCATTTCTCCTTCTGCCTTTTCAATAGTCTCTTAGCTCTGCAGAGGAGAAGAAGGTCCTTTTGCTTCTGAACAAACATGGCCCAGATAAGTTGTACCAGGTGACAAGCGAAACCAGTGGCTGCAAAGATATGGACCTGACTCTGCAGAGGGGGCAAATAGTGGCTTTTTTGCATGGCACGGACTCCAAGGGCAACACAAACCGATGGCTGGTAGATTCAGGAGGTACTGTCAGTGTTGCAACCACCCAGAACCCTTTTCTTTGGGGCGATAAAGGAGAATGTTTGTAGCTCAGGGTTGAAATGAGGATCCTTGGTGCTGTCTGAGCTTGGTTGTTTTCTTGCAGACATTTCATTACCTAAACTAGGTAATCATCATCAAGGCTGATGATGTTACTTAGTTTGTGTAATGAATGCTCTGCAAAGAAAACAACCGAGCTCAAAAGAGCACCGAGGACCTCTTTTCTTTGTTACCACGAGTGGTAAATTGGGATGGTCTGATCAGTCTAAACCAGAGGTCACCACCCTTTTCATGCTGGCAGCCCAGAGGGAAAGGGAGCAGCTGAGAAATTTGTGTGCATGCGTGCGTGCACACGTGTGAACGGAGCTGCGTGTGAATGGGACTGCATGCACACGCATGGTGCTAGCAACCCCGTTTGCGCATGCGTGCAGGAGCTAGCCACTACCGCAACTAGCACCCATGTGCATGTGCAAACAGTCCACGCAACTCCCATGTGCACTAGTGGCCCCATTTGTGCAGGTGCTAGCAGCCGCCTCTAGCCCCACGCGCATGTGCAAATGGGTCGATGGGTCCTAGCACAAGTGGGTGTGCGGTTGGGGACCCCTGGTCTAAACCCAGTCTGTGTGTCACACATTATTCTGTTTTGTGAAATTTGAAAAATAATGATTTTTTCCCCATTGTACTTGCCTTTAAAAAATCCATGGTTGTATAAGAAATCTACCTCAAAAACCTAAGTAGGATCAGATCTGGATGGGAGATTATCAGGAATCCTCAGGGCTTGTAAATAAATGATAACATAATATATGTCATGTGTTGTTGTTCATCTGTATTTACCTACTTTTAAAAACTGCTACGGATCAGGTGGTTTTTACTATGTCTTGATACATCCCCTTTGTGTTTTATGGTTTTTACATATTTTCAACGGGTCCTTAGTGCTCTCTGAGTTTGCTTGTTTTCTTGCAGACATTTCATTACCCAAACTAGGTAACATCATCAGTGTTAGTCAGGATGTATTTTCTTTTTCACATGAATATAAGTAGGTATGCCCTAAAATCAATAAAAGTCAAACTCAACTGAAGGAAGTTGTTTGTTTATAGTCAAAATATTTTTTTGTATTCTGCTTATGCATTAAAATCCCATGATGGCTGATTATATGGCTGTATTGTAATATTTGCTGTTTCCTATACAACCTGGTCTACTTTCCTGGTTTATATTTTTTGAATTATCTATGCTGTAATTGCAACAAATCCTTAAGTGACCGAAAGTGGTATTGAGAAAAGATGCACTTATAAATTCAAATGATCCAAAAGGACTATTTTACAAAATACACACTGGCGTTTAGAACTTTTTTAGCAGGAAAAAAAGGGATGGGTAAATTGATCTGGCTGCAGAACAGTCTTGGATGAAGTGCAGCCTTTTGATATAAAATAAATCTGCGTCTGATATCTTTTACATCCCTACTGCATCAGATAAGAAGCTTAAATCATAACCACAGAATATTTCATTAAGCCTAATCTGGTGGGCTCCAGATGTGTTGGATTACAACTCCTAAATCTCTGGCTGGTTATCAGGGGAATTATAGTCCTATCAGATCTGGAGTTCAGCAATTTGGAGAAGATTATTATAGAGTGCTATTGCTCATGTAACAGGTGATCTGATAGTCTGATTAGCTAATGTGGAAGGGAAAAAAGGAACTTGTAGTTCTTCCTTTGGCAGATTTTTTAACTTTTCAGTATAGTTTTTATTTGTGTTGTAAACCCATTAATATTTTTTTTTAAAAAAAATAGATTAAGACCCATCCAGTGTTTTGTCATCCTTCTAGCTTAACTGAGTGTTTTCTACTGAACAGGTGGCTTTATATGCCTTTCTATAGTTGGGTGAATTGAAATACTAGTCGCTGAGCTTCTCAGAGATCGAGAGTTGACCACTGTGGAAAGCTGGGTATTGGATTAAACGGACCTTTAATTTGATTACATTATTTTAGCCAGTTATATTTTATTAGTTCCCACTAAGAATATAATTCCTAGTCAATTGCATTTTATTAATGAGAATTGGACTTTCCCCCTTGGGACAGTTTCCCCTGATTTATCTGAGTAACTAGGAGGTGATAGAAAAAAAAAAGACTTCTAAATGGTTTTAATTAAAGGGAGAGTTGCTTACTCTCTGAACTGTGAAAATCAAATATCAGGAAGAAAACTAGAGCAGTGGTAGGATAGCTGAAGTAGCCCAGGTGTTGTAAGTTCCCCTACCAGATTTTGCATGCATTAGATAATTGCAAAAGACAGGAAAGATGCCTTTTTACAACAATTGTACTATAGTCCTAATAGCCAGAAAATGAGACGGTCATTGTCCAAACTGCAGAGAGAGGTGAAGGAAGAGTGGTTCTTTTCAGCAACCAGAAGACCAGCCATTGAACTACAGGTTGCCTGTCCCTTGGTTGAACCTTGCCTAAACCAGGAGTAGAACCTCAATTGTCCCTTTCTTTCCGCTCTCTCCTTTTTTAATACTGACTTTTCTATCACTCTCTGCCTTTGTACTCCAACCAGTTCCTTCCCTCTCTTTTTTCTTGCCTTTCTTTCCCGATATTAAACGCCTCATACTCTAATTCTATAGCTCTATATCTCCCCTTCATGTCTCCATTCATCATATTTGTGCTAATTTTTGTCATCTAGCCCACTCATCTTCTTTCCTCTCTATAACATGACATGACATAATCATATTATACTCTAAGAGCCGTGGTGGCGCAGTGGTTAGAATGAAGTATTACAGGCTAATTCTGCCAACTGCCAACAATTTGATCCTGACTGGCTCAAGGTTGACACAGTCTTCCATCCTTCCGAGGTGGGTAAAATGAGGACCCAGATTGTTGGGGCCAATAGGCTGACTCTGTAAACTGCTTAGAGAGGGCTGTAAAGCACTGTGAAGCGGCATATAAGTCTAAGTGCTATTGCTAAGTGCTATTATTAAGCTGAAAGACACATATAAGAAAATACAGATACGGTAAAATAAAAAGTATTTTAGTATAAAATAAAACAGTTTGAGATAAATAAGTTGATAGATATTATGTTAAGCATTTCAAAATGCAAACATTAATGAATTAATAAAAACCTTACTTCTATAGCCATAGTTAAAAGTTTAGCCATTGTGGTTGTAACATTAGGATTTTTATATGATTGTAAAGTTTTAATGTATTCAAAAAATATCTCCTCCTGGCCTTGATTTAAAATAGCACAGATTACATCCTGCCAAAAACTCTTGTAAAAATCACATCCTTTCATTGGTACATCCCACACATCCTCTCTTCTTTCCTACACTAAATGCTGTCTTTTTGTCCATTCCTTTTTATATCAAATCGTTATTTCTACACCATTCTTTTCCAATTATGTCAAGTTCATGCTGCTTTCATTGGCATTACTATATAGCCATCTGCTAGTTGATAAACAACAAGGGAACGATCCACTTCTTGTCAGCAGTCTAGCCTTCAGCTTAATCTTACCTCTCTTGTGTACCATGCAGGTCCAAGAGGTTACGTGTCACCTGGAAAGCTCCAACGGTACCATTACGTCCCCAACCCAAAGCCCAGAACAACAACGTTGCCCCAGGGTGATGCTGCTGAGCAAATGCATCCTACTTACAACTTCCCCCAAACTCCCAACCCCCCAGCGTACTTCAGCACTCCAGTTTTACAGGTGAGTAAAGTGCAATCTCTTCAGCAACACCTCTCCTTCTCTTTCTTGTTGCTCTGATTTTTAAGGACAATAGTATGAGTTGTGAACAGGCAGTGAATTTATGGCTAGAGACTGGCAGATAATGGCATCTCCTGTCCTGTTATGCTGATTTATATTTTAACAGGGCCATTTCAGGATGCAAACTTGGGTATGCCTCTCAAGTGATTTTTTTCCAGGTAGTTTGTTATGATCTCAAAAGGATTTTTAAGAAAAGACTGGACAGCCATTTGTCTGAAATGGTATAGGGTTTCCTGCCTGAGCAGGGGGTTGGACTAGATGACCTCCAAGGTCCCTTCCAACTTTACTATTATTATTATTATTATATGGAATAGGCCAGATATGCTGACTCACCCTTGGGACATTTATAAAGGGAAACCTGAATGTGGGTCAGATTTGGAAACTAGTAAGGTATTGGTTAAATGAAAAAAAAAATACCTGTAATGAGCAATGAAAACGAAAACAAAGATTGATAAGAAGTAGCAGTCACACGAAGGACTAGTTTATATGATTGTGTCCAACAATACATAAGATCACAACAGACACCCCAGCTAGAGTTGGGCACTCAGTAGCTGCTTGTGTAGGAGCCAAGAGTCAAAGCTGTAATAGGACCCTGAAAAGTTTAGTCTCCATGAACTCAGAATGAAAATTATTAACCACCATGACTAATACTATTTCTGTCTCATAACTAGAATCCCAACTGGAAAAGATCTAGAAAACCTCTTTCCTCTAAGATCTTTTGTATGATGTTCCTCTGATTTCCTACCATCTTTTCAACTACATTCTCTAAAAACAGGGAGATTGAACCCCAGGCAAAATTAATTAAACATAACCAGATCCAGAAATGGCTACTGCTTCTTTCAAAGTAAAATGGCATTACTTCCTTATTTGGAGAACCATTTGAATACTTCCTGAATCCAGCCAGATCCAGCCAGCCATGCCCTGCCTAGCTATTTGAGAGAGCAAAGAGGGGCCTGAATCCAAATCACAATTGATAAAATTCAAATGATAGATAACCCTATCAAGTGAAATTATTTGCCAGAAATCTGCAAATTCATCCAGCCTGCCTGCAGTCCCTTCGTCCTGTCTATCTTTCCCTAAAAGATGGTATATAACCCAGCACAAATCTGCAGATGAAAGAAGTGAAGAGAAGAACTGCCACATTGCAATTCTTAGCACCATTGTGTAGACTGAAACATGATCTTTCATTAATGTTTGGTGTTATATACCTTTATTGTTTTAGATCACGGATGTCAAACTTGCCACATCACATGACATGTCATGACGTATCGTGACTCTTTTTGCATTGCCGGCAATGGGGTGGGCGCGGCTTCGGTGTGATGAAACCGGCCCGCGGGCCAGCAGTTTGACAGCCCTGCTTTAGATCTCTTTTCCATCACTCCACTTATTTGAGTTCTCTATTAAATTAAGGAATTACTTGAATCAATAATTGGGGGAAAGCCTCATGGGAATAATCCCATCATCTCTGGCCACATTCTAAGGACTGACTACTCTGAAATGTAACTCTTGCCAAATTGTGGGGTATTTCCCTAAACGCCCTCTGGATGCCTTGTGGGTGATGGGGTGGATGGCTCTAACCAATCCTCCATCCTTGTGGAGCTGCAGAGCGTCCCAGAGGACAGCTATTAATGCTTTCCATCTTCAGATCACATCTCATCTGCTTCAAAATAAAGACCAGATCTAGCTTGTGTTCTCTTGCAAAAGTTAGGGCTGCAATTTACACGTGATTAATGTTTGCCATTAAGGCCATGAGCACAAAGAGCTACATCAGACCTCTCTCCCAAGGTATGTAAGTCAAAGCCATCCAAGAGTAAAAACCTCAGGAATTCCAGCACCCGCCACAAGATACCAAGATGAAATCCAAGAACTTGCAGAGCAGCTTGGCAACCAGCACCCCAGCAACATCCATGGAGAACACATTTATCAGGGTGGACCTCTGAAATCATGCTACTGTAATTGGCCCATGCATATGAGCATAGAACAATAGTATTCATCCTGGCAGCTAGTGCTATTAAAGCTAGAGCGTTGTAAGCAAATTGGCACCCCCCCAGGCATCATAAATAATAATAGTGCATTACAGAAACTGCTGTAAGAACTGCATCTTCGGGACCCTGAGAACACTGAGCAGTGAAGGAGACTATTATACAATTTTGTAACAGTGATAAGTCATCACCCAGTGCCACTAAACCAGAATGGAATAAGCTTCTTTTCCTAAAAAACATAAACCTATTGTATTGGGAGAAGCTCACCCCCACTTTATAAATGTCCCTCCTCTGGAGCTTTCAGATGAGTTGCTTCTAAATTTCAGTCCAGGGGTCTTCTGAGAAAGTACTAAGTCTGTAGTTACAAATAGTCCATCTAACAGGTAAGAGGCTCAGAAGAGGAACACGGGGTAAAAGCAGAAGAATAAGGGCCACACATGAGCAAGAAACCCAGTTCTAATGCTGTAGTTGGCAGCACCGAGAAGGAGTTAGTATGCAGCCATGAGCATGGAAGTGAGATTGGTCTGTGCATATTATCACCTAATGCTGATATGGAGTGAACAAAATTGTTTTTTACCCACTTCCCAAAGTGATAATAGTAAATGGTGCAGCAACATGAAACTCTTTACTGGTAAAACCAACAGAAAAACTTGTAATGGACCCGAAGGGGACAGAACCCACAACACTGAATATTGTAGTATTCCTTCCCCATTTAAATCAATCTGCTCAGCCCAGAACGAGGGATTTCTCAAGAACAGCAGGTGAAATATTCTTTTGAAGGGCAATAAAGCAATATCCATAAGGCATCTGTGTAAGGCCTGGAAAGTGCCAGTCAGGAGTAGCACAAACAAAGGACTCTGCAGAAGGCAGATCTCTGCTCTTCCCTGCAGCCTAGCTGAGGAGATGAAGACAACATCATGAAAACGAGGAGGAAAAGTGCAATTACCAGAGATGCATTGTGAAGCTAAAAAAAAAAAAAAATCAAAGTAACAGCTCACTGGGTTCTCAATTCCTTATCTGAAATCAAATTCCATAGTTTCCTGAAACAGACTAAGTATAACCAAAGCAGGATTATCTCCTGAATCTGCTCCTTATTCCTTAGTATTTCCGCTACCCTGGGCAAATTCCTTAGTATTTCCGCTACCCTTAGTATTTCCGCTACCCTGGGCAAATGTCAATTTCCTCTTTCTTCTTATTCAATGCTGTGCAACATAGAAACGGTCCTTCATTAACAACATGCATTTTGGGTGCAGAACTAGGAAACTCTCAGAGGGAATAATCCAGTGCCAGAGTACCCTCCCCCCCCTTTCCCACCAATCTCCCAGACTGGGGCCTTCCAATGTGGACAATGCCCAATCTCAGAAACTCCGCAAAGGGAATGTGGTCAGAGCCAAGCTAGATCTTCCTCCCTGAAGATCTTTCTTTGCACTGCCTGGGTCTGGAAAGACTTCTTTTAGTGGGGAGAGGGGTTTATGTTGCCCTTCCTCTACCTCTAGGATGGTGCTAGGAGACCACTGCAAAGAGCGTTTCAAGGCTCAAATACTCTTGACATTTACATTAGGTTTGCTGTTAGCTTGCCCAGCATCAAGAACTGAGTTGAATAATTCACAGCTCTTTATGCCTGCCACTACCTCCATTTATTTTCTTTTCATTCATGCCCCTCGCTGCTCAGCATTCATCACACAAGGTTACATAAACCGACTTGCTGCAGAGCATTAGGAAGCCATACAGGCAAGAAAATTCATCTAACAACACCCAGGAGGAGCCAGGCTCTTCATATATGTTAGTCTCAAGGTTTAGATCCTGGCTCTTTCTCTCCCCTTTTTATTTCACCCATTTGTCTCTTGGCTCTGAAAGATTCTGCCTCTTCTCTCTTATTTATAATATAGCTTTCTCTGGTGTAAAGATGAGAGATTCTTGCCTCACCAGCTTCCTGCAGGCTGGCAATTGACAATCAAAAGTTCTTATTTCTTTGGACTAGTAACACATTTGTGTCCTGCATAAACTCCACAAATTTAGATACCTATTCTGTCTCTGGGCATGGCTCCTTGCCATAAATTTCATAACAAATTTCTGCTTCTTCGAGATGTTTGCAGAAAGGCATCCCAGAAAGTTGCTTTGCCTATCCGGGGGGGTTAGACTTGATGACCTCCAAGGTCCCTTCCAACTTATTATTATTATTATTATTATTGTTGTTGTTGTTGTTGTTGTTGTTGTTATCTGATATGGCCAGGTTTATTTATTATTATTTTTGCATCATATCCTGTAGTATAATGATCAAAATAATATCCTGTATTATAACTGTTATAATATTTATTAATTACTAGCTGTACCCAGCCACGCGTTGCTGTGACTCAGTCTGGTAAAAGCGTGTGTTGCTTTTACGTCCAACAGATGGCACTGCTTTTCAAAAAAAGCATGTTTTTACCTATCACAGGTGTGACATCTATATACTGTAATATAGGTATATAAAAACACACGCATATTCGAATGCAACGTTGTTTCAAAATTTCAAAGCAATCGGTGAAGATCTTTCGGAGATTTAAGATTTTGAACAAATGAACATTTACATTTTTATTTATATAGATTTCTGTTTTTCTTAGGTACGTGCTGCTTATCCCTTCGTAGCCAGGAGCACTCAGGAAGTCAGTCTGGAAGCTGGCCAATCAGTGACTGTGCTGGAACCCCATGATAAAAAGGGAAACAAAGACTGGTCCTTGGTGGAAGTGAATGGACAGAGGGGCTACGTGCCTTCCAATCACCTGGTGGTGTTACCCCCACAGCCACCTGGATGGGTTTCACCCTTTTGACCATTTCCGGCTTAGTAAACGCAACTGTTAAGTGATGCTTGGTTTAGAAGTCAGCTATATTTTCATTGCCTGTCTCTTGCCTTTTCTTTCATGACATTTTATGGACAAAGAGGCTGATAATGAGGCCAGGAGGCCTCTGGAATATTGTGAGTTTCAGTTTCAGAAATTCAGCGTGAATTTGTGCCATATTTATTGAAAAACTATGAAGGAATGTAGGTACATAAGCTACTTTTAGTTGTGATGGCATTTCTTGATCTAAGGCTGACAAATATTGGAAAGAAGGGTTCTTGTAGTAATCTAGAATAATTTCTGTGTTACAAATAGTCCTCATTCAGTGATCACATTTGGGACCCACAACTCCGTCATTAAGTGAAGCGGTTGCTAAGTGAACCCACGACAGTGCTTACAATCTTACTTCAGCTTTCCTTTGCTTTACAAACCTGGAAAGGTTGTAGATGTTGTAAAGTTACTTTTACATCACTGTCATAACTTTGAATTGTTGCTAAATGAGACAGTCACTAATGTGGACTACCTGCATTTGATCAATGCATGGTCTCAGAGCAAGGATTTCTGCAGGACACCTAAATGTAACTGTGCTTGGTGCAATAAGGGCTTAGAAGGGGAATTGTCTCTTCCTAACTCATTCCAAAACACCCATCTCAATCAATTAGCAAGAAACCACAACAAAGAAGCTATAAGCCATAGGCTAGTTCAGGGGTCTGCAATCTTGACAACTTTAAGACTTGTGGACTTCAGCTCCCAGAATTCCTTAGCTGGCTGAGGAATTCTGGGAGCTGAAGTCTACAAGTCTTAAAGTTGTCAAGGTTGCAGACCCCTGGGCTAGTTGAAGCCCCATTCTTCTTCTTTCACTGATATAAAGTCCTTTTGGTTTTATGATAGTGAAGAAATAGCTAAAGGAATCAGCTCAAAATCTTCCAATGATCTATGGTACAACTCCCAGATTAATAAGCCCAGTTGTTCTCTTCAGTAATATATAAGTCTTAATAAACTGAACAAAATGGCTGTGGTGTGTTATAGTGATAAAGTGTTTAACTAAGAACAGGGAGAAACTGGTTTTGAATCTGCCCTCAACCATGGAAAGTCAGTAGCTGATTTTTAGCCAGTTACTCTCTTATATCCAACTCACCTCACAAGATATACGCTATTGGGAGAAAAAATAATGCTATGTAAGTCGTATTTAGTTTCTAGAGAAAAGATAGTACACAAATCTAACAAATAAATATTTGCTTTAAGTAACCTTCATTGAGGTGATACAACGGCTATTCCCATTACTGGAGAGAATTACTGGTGGCACAGTGTTTAAAGTGCAGTATCGCAGGCACTCTGCACACAGCCTGGAGTTTGATCCTGATGGAGCTCAAGGTTGACTCAGTCTTCCATCCTTCCGAGGTTGGTTAAATGAGGACCCAGATTGTTGCTTCTACCTTGTAAACTGCCCAGAGAGTACTATAAAGCACTATGGGGCAGTATATAAGCCTAAATGCTATTACTATTGCTGTATCAGTCCAGTAATGGTTAGAAAACTCTAGAAGACACTATAACGTATTAGTGGAGATTCCACCATATGAAATATTCAGCACTGCTCTAACAGGCATTCTGAAATATTGGAAGCATATTCAACTAAAACAATATTGGAGAGAAAAGAAAAATTGTTAAGAGTTATCTTTTGGCATGAAGTGGTTGTTACCAACTTTCAGGTAGAAATATGGAATGGCAAAATATTGCTAAAATTGTGAAAGTAGTAAACCGATAGGTACACAGAAAACTAAATTTGTATGCACAAACAGTATATGATTTGTCTTTGCTTTTCTCCAAAAAGAGCAAGAAAATTTGCATATGAAAAATAATCTGAGGCCCTTCTGAAGACAAGTGAAAAAGATGGTATACAGAAACTTATTATCAATTGGTACTTTCTCATTAAAATATTCCCTCCCCCTTCAAAAACTATACACTAAAATAAGGAGAAGAATTGCAACTGCAGACATTGATTTCCAGTGAAATCAGAATGTGCACTAAAGGGCAGTTGCGCCTGTGAGATTAACATGAGGCATAATGCAATTTTTCAGTGCCTTCTACCAGAGACTATGCTTATCTTCCCACATCCATGTACCTGTAATCACATCAAATTACTTTTGGTATCAGCATAGAAAATGAATGCATAAACTGATCTGAAGGCTCAGGATGACATGAAACATTAAGATGTTAACGCATCTGGGTGTGACTGATAAGACAACTTGCAGTGTTTAAAAATGTAACTACGGTAGATGTCTTCAAGGGTGGCTCCTGAAAAATTCGTGGGTTTGCTCTTTGCTATACAAAATTTTATGTGAGATGGAGGATAAGATGAATGGGTAACATGATGTTTTAACTGACTCTTAACACAACCCATATGTGTCTGGATTTTGACTTTGTACATCCCAACCTGTGGGCCACGGCCCACTATCGGGCCGTGGCCTATTGGCGACCAGGCCACGTGAGTGGCTGGCCAGTGAGTGTGGGTGTGGGTGCATGCACAGCCCCATTCACACAAACGTCACCATGAGTGTCGCAGGCATTTACGGCCCCACTCGCTCGAGTAACAGGTGTTCATATGTACGCATGTGTGTATGTATGCATTCACCCCACACACACAAAACCATCCCTTCTTTCCCTCCTCCCCCTGCCACCCCCGAAAGGTTGGGGAACTCTGTTGTAATGTGAGAGGTTAGTAGGATAAAGGCCAAGAAGTGACCTTATACCCCCAAATCCCCTTTCCTTGTTGTTGTTGTTTTTTTAAAAAAACTGTAGTATTTAAATCTTCTAAATAGCTGCTGCTTTGTTTGTCAACTTTGCAACAAGTAAATTCTTTGGGCCAAATCTCAACTTTAGAGTTAATAAGCTGAACTACTGTGACAATATAACTTATACATTCTAGCTGAAGTGCTTACGTGAGTGAGAAATGGCCTTGCACACATCTTGTAATCTATGGAAACGTCCTATGGTATTAAACTGCTGTGAACTTTGTCTTAAGGTCCAAATATTGAACGCTAAAAATAAGGAGACCAGAAATTTCTTTATATTTGTAACAATGGTGTATTTGCATTATATTAACTGTGAAATAAATGAACAGTATTGACTCTCTACTTAAAGATGCTTTTCAAACTATTCCGGTGTAAGCGCATGTTTCTCGTCCGAATATGTCTCTTCCTACATTATGTTGCTATGCAGCTCTTTTACCACCAGGTGGCTCACTTACCTCATTTGTCTCTTAAGCATACCAGGCAACATTGGAACTGGCTATCTCTTTATGTTTTGAATAGAAAGGACTAGATTGTTGGCATTAAAAGCAACAGTTGATATTTACTTCCTTGTTTCCCAATGCTGCTGTTCATGACTAATCGTTCTAGTACATTGCTTTTCAGAATAGTTTGAACAGTTGGCAATGGTATTTTATTTGTTTACATTGGAAGATATTGAGGATACAATTGTACCTTTCACAATTGCCTGCCCTCTACATGGATCAGACTACAGTTCATATATAAAAGATTCTTGGGCCCAAGTTTGATAGGCATGTGCAGTTCTGAGGCCTGA